CAAGGATACATAGTTCATTTTATTTTTAAACTGAAGATAAACAAGTTCCCAATAAATGGGCACGGTCATATATGGTCACACAATGTAAGACCAACCTTATTTCAGTACTCTCCCATTACAAATTACAATTTGATTCAGTCCTTTAAATATATCCACCATAAACGCAGAAAAGTTTCAATTCTCCACAGCTCATCTTCCTTGTCAAAGCTTATACATTGCTTTCATTGGCCTTTACAGCACCTTATGGAATGTTAGCACCTTTCATACCTTTGAAAGCATTGTACAGAAGGTTTGAATTATTATGCAAGGGATGGAGGGATATGGACCAAGGGCAGGCAGAAGGGAATAATTTAGTTTGGTGTCTTGATCGGCACAATACCATGGGGCAAAGGGGCTGTTTGTATGCTGTACGATTCTGTGTTGTATGTTCCATGATGACACCAAATCTGCTATTTAATACAAGTGCAGTTCTGATACAAAATGCCACAGATTAGGTCATCTGTTCAACCTCTCTGATAAAGTGAAGGGAATCTTTCATTTTTATTATATATTATTATCCCAAAAGTATATGGTCAACAGTGAAGCATAGGGAAACGATGTTCCAATGATTTTCAGAGACAATGTAGTACTTGTGACGTTCATTCACTGTTATCATGAAGGAAATGAGACAGCCAATTTTTAGTGCTGTAAGCAATGAGATAATGACCTAATAATTTGTATTAATTAGTGATGCTGAGGCTAGGACACTGGGGAGAACTCTCTCAATCAATTTCAAAATGCCTCACAGGTTCTTTATGTCATACTGGAGGGCAGGCTGTTTATTATGTGAGTTAAAATATAATACTACCAACAGTGTAGCACCCCATTCAGAATACCACTATGGTGTCGTTGTAGATTAGGGGCTCAAGACTCCAAAGTGATTCTTGAACTAACTGCCACTCAACTCAGACCCTGGTTTAAAACAAAGAGTCCAGGTGCTGCAGAAAATTACGTTATCTGATTAATAAAATGCCCATTGTTGACTTTGTATGGATCTCAAAGTTGGACTCCATACAATGTTCAGGCCACATAAGGTTGGGTGGCTCAGTGGTTAGCACTGTTGCCTTATAGTGCCAGGGACCTAGGTTTGATTGGGTGACTGTCTGTATGGAGTTTGCACATTCAGCCCATATCTGTGTGGGTTTCCTTTGGGTGCTGTGGTTTCCTCCCACAGTCCAAAGATGTGCTGTTTAGGTCAACTGGCCATGCTAAATTGCTCATAGTGTCTAGGGATGTGTAGGCTAGGTGGATTAGCCAAGGGAAATGTAGGGTGGTGGGTCTGGATGGGATACTCTCCAGAGGGTCACTGTGGACTCAATGGGCTGAATGGTCTGCTTGTGCCCTTGTGGGGATTTTATGCTGCTAAACTCAAATATATTGCTAACCAGCACAGTGACCACTCAGAGTTTTATAAGGGCTGATTGAACTAAATGCCTAGTTCCCTTTCCAAACCAGAACCCCGTTAAGGAATATTGGCATCCTGGAGAGGAGTGGTAATAGTATTAATTGATTTATGAAATATTCAATGAATATGATTTTGTATTGATGTTCAAAAACTTGGAGTAGTGTTTTCATTATCACACTATGCACCCAGTTTAACTATAACTGCTAGAGTCCAAACCATTTAACAATATTCATTATTTTCATTTGCGTTGTTTTAAAGCAGCACATAGTTGCAAGGATAATTTGGATTTAATATTTCCCCTACCATAGTAAAACATTTGCAAGGTGTTTAACTGGAGTGAAATCAGACCAAAGTTGATTCAAAGACAACGCAGGTTACATTAGGGGACAGGAAAATGATAGGTTTAAAAGCTCTTCTGAAAGTGCGGGGATGAGGAATTGAACTTTAAGAAAGAATTCTAGAATTTTGAGTAGATATTGCTGAAGGTACAGCTTTCAACTTTGTATAAAGTCAGTGTGCGATGTGCAAGAGGCTAGAATTGGAGGATCATTGAAATCTTGGATTGTCATAGATCTAGGGATGGTTACAGAGATGGTGAAGGTTGGGACCTGAGAGGAATATTAATACAAGAAAGAGAATGTTAAATTTCAGATGTTGGTGAACTGAAAACTAATGTTTCAGCAAGCATGGGGCAATGGATAAACAGACATGGTGTGGGATAGGATATGGCCAGCTGAGGGTCTGATCAATTGAATTATATAGATGGAAGCAAGCAGGTCAGAAGATCACTGGACTAGTTGAGTTTGAAGGTAACAGCATATTTTAGATTGAGAATTTTTTATTGTGTCTGTCTTCCCAGAGGGTGCTTTTAAAAAGTCTGCACCAACTTAAGATGGAAAAAAAGAAATCTGACTTAGATTGAAATGGATACGGGTGGGTTAAGGGTTCTGATCCCAGAGAGCTAATTGGCAAATCGTTGTGTTGTCTGCAAATTTCTGCCCATTGGAGGTAAAAATTACATTGTTAATTATCAAGAAGGGGGAGAGATGGCAGCTATACCCAAAAAGTCCTGAAGGTGGAGCTCAACTTATTGATTCAAGGAAACTATAAAAGCAGCGAAAGCTTCAGAACTGAACATGAGGGCACTGTTTCTAAAATAAGCCTCGATGTTGTTTGGAGCAGGTACAGGTGAAAATGTAACCAAATATTCTGTTAAGTGCAGACTTTGGGGAATTTGTCAATTGATGCCAGAACATTGAAGGGTTCATCAGTATTTTGTTCATGTTGGTTTAAGTCACTTTGCACCAATGAACACTGTGCCTTCTGAATTGCATATCCAATAACATTTTCTAACATGTAACATGCTGCGTATTGATATTTGCAGGATCCCTTACTCTGAACATTTAGGAGATCCCTACCTTGTGTCATTGAGTGTGCCACTAAGTACTTGGTAAGATATGAAATGGAGTGACAGGGCCACAGAGTGTGTTACTTTAGTTCAGTATTTGACTGCTATGGTCCTGGGGACAAGGATGGTCCCGGAGGCATGAGGTGCTGTGAATAATGGGTTGCAGGTCACTCACTCTCCGAGAAAGAAAGAGAGAGAGAGAGAGATGCTTTTGTTCTAATGCATTTGACCATGTGAGGATAGGAAGCCTCCTGGTGGTTTTGTTTGCAATTTGTCTCCCTTCCTCTCTGACTCTCAAGATGTCTAGATACATATGATTATGTATAAGATGACTCCCTCTGCAATATAGTGGGACTAGTTTAGTTTGGGAACATGGTTGTTGTGTACTATATTGACTGAAGGGTCTACTTCTCTGACTCTATGCTGGGTGAGCATGGAGCTGAGACTGACATCAAGGATTAAGCTCACAATAAAGGATATTCTATTCCTCGTTTAACATTCTAGTGCAACACTGAGAGGGAAGTATTGTCAAACCATTGCCTTGTTTCAATGGGCTTGGTAAAATTCCCATCGCACCACTTAAAGAAATGCAAACAGTTCTGCTAGAGTCATAGCCAACATTCAAACCTCAAACAACAGCCCTGAATGCAGGTTAAGACTAATTTACTGGATCAGAATGGGTAGCCCACGTAACAATGTGACAGCAAAGGTGCTGGATGTTAGATGTTCAACACATAGTACCATATAATTGGAAACATTATAAATATTTGCATGGCATTAATTCAAAGACCAGATTGTGAGTGTGGTATCAGATGTTCTTACACACTAATGAACTTTAGCAGAAGCCTTGTGTTCAAGCACATACCCAATCAAATACTGGAAAGCTGCAAGGAGATTAGTTATGAATCAGGATGTTTCTGTTCATTGTATTTAAGGACAACATCAGAAACTGTGTTACCTAGAGACAGGTTAATTCCCCGATGGACTTTGTAACACTGAAGGTAATTTTTACCTTTACTGGTCGGACTGTAATCTATTCGAGAAGAGAAGCCCATTTTTAGAACCTATAATTTCTTCAATGAGTGAACTCTGCTCTGACAGATTATAAACTTTTTTTATTTATTTATTCATTCATGGGAAGATGGTGTCGCTAGCTAGGCTAGTATTTATTGCCCCATCCCTAATCACTGTACTGTGGGAAGTTTGTGTAAAAGTGAGGTCATCTGTTTTGGCAGGAATAACAGCAAAATAGACTGTTATTTAAATGGTGAAGAATTGCAGCATGCTGCTGTGCAGAGCGACCTGGGTATCCTTGTGCATATATCATGAAAAGTTGGTTTGCAGGTGCAGCAGGTGATTTAGAAGGTAAATGGAATATTGCCCTTCATTGCTGGAGGGATGGAGTTTAAAAATAATGAGGTTATGCTGCAGCTGTACACAGTTGTGTTCCGGGCCACATCTGGAGTACTGTGTACAGTTTTGGTCTCCTTACTTGAGAAAGGATGCATTGGCAATGGAAAGGGTGCAGAGGAGGTTCACTAGGTTGATTCCAGAGATGAGAGATTTGGCTTATGAGGAGAGATTGAGTGGACTGGGACTATACCCATTGGAATTTAGAAGAAAGACAAGGAATCTTATAGAAACATATAAAATTATGAAGGGAATAGATAAGATAGAAACAGGGAGCTTGTTTCCTCTGGTGGCCAAAGCTAAAACTGGGGGGCATTGCTCAAATTAAGGAGAAGCAGATTTAGGACTGAGTTGAGGAGGAACTTCTTCACCCAAAGGGTTGTGAATCTGTGGAATTCCCTGCCCAGTGAAGTAGTTGAGGCTACCTCATTGAATGCTTTTAAGACAAAGGCAGGTAGATTTTTTGAACAGTAAAGGAATTAAAGGTTATGGTGAGTGGGTGGGTAAGTGGAGCTGAGTCCGTGAAAAGATCAGCCATGATCTTATTGAATGGCAGAGCAGGATTGATGGGCCCGATGGCCTACATCTGCTCCAATTTCTTATGTTCTTATATTTTTATGTTTAGATTACCAGGCTGCTTGTGTTTTATTCTATCCAGGGTAGTTAACAATACATCAACTTCTCTCAAACTTCACCCTTTGAAATGTTTTGTTGGCACCATGAAAAATAAAGTAAGACTTCAAGTAAAAGCTTCTACATCTGTATTAAGTAAAAAATATGTCCACAACATAACAATAAATTCAAACAGGCTACGAGAACAGCAATGCTTAATCCAATTTCGCCAAGGAAAGGCGAACGTTAAGGAAGCGTTTACTGTCCTCAACATTTTCCGAAGACTGCAAAATACTCTAAGAAAGACAGGATTTCACTTAGGGCAACAGACATTAAATTTGTTATGACTGCAGGAGCCCAAGAAGTGACCCATATTAATAGACTGGAGATTCAAATGAATAAGTTGGCATATCCGATCCACAGTTCCCCTAAAATTCCACTAAGTGGGACATTTGGCAGCACCATGAATCAGGCCCTTCTGATTGTCCGGGTTAAACTCAGGCTTTAAACTAAAAGTGGAGCCTCACAGCATGAAACCTCAATTTTCTTTCCTCCATTGAATAAGAGACTGCTTTTCCTCCGACCATTACTATGGGTTATAACCTCTGTGATTGATCGATTGCTGGTCAACTTGCTTGTAAACATCTGAGCACTCTTGGATTGCACCATGTGACATGACTTAAACTCTTATGTGTGAAATGTGTTCATCCATTGAGGACTAATGAAGTGGATAAAGCAATGGGGATAGCAGTGCAATGCAGAAGTACTTCAGAGCAAGACCATCATGAATCAGCAACCCATCTGACATCTAGGCCGTTGAATATAATTGAACAGAAAATTGGGTTGTGTATAAAACAAGCTGCTGATTTTGCTATGGCCTGTTTTGTAGAGTCTGCCAATATAAATTTTGTCCCCAATACCTCAACTAATATTAAAGGAAAATGGAATTCCATCTATATATTAAATCATAGATCATTTACAGATTATTCATGGTACATTGACATCACACAACATTGTTTAAACATCCAAGTTATTCTTGTAATTCTATGTGGAATGGTATTACAAGTGTGGTTATAGAGTTTGTAGTGAAATATGTTTGCCTACCTTAGTATCATTAAATGGGATTCTCAGAGCACTAGTACAAATGAATATAGATCACTACTTTTTAATTTGAATATTGCTGAAAAACAGACAAAATTTTTGTTGAAATTTTTTGTCTTGACTCATCAGGACAATTCAGAAGAAATATCAAAGCACAAAATGTTCCTGTTTCAACTCAACAAAACATATGGCAACCATTCTCTGCTTCATTTCTCAGGGCAGTTACTTCACCCATCACAACCAACTTGCCTGATTAAAATTTAATCAAAACTTGGCAGTCATCACCAAACTCATGGATCCTCCATGGTAATGCCTCTATTAATTAAAGTCCAATTGCTGACAATTTATCACTCTGTTCTGAAAAGATACTGGAGATATTAACTCAAAATTTGTTAGATTAGCTGAATTCAAATTAGAAGGAAAAAGCATATGAAGGCTGGTGATGACCTAATGATTAGAAAGGTCAGTGGTTTAATGTTTCTGCATCTGAAAGAATTTGTGTGTATGTGTTTAATTAAGTGCTGAAACTCAACAGTAATGGCCTGAACAGTCACAGTCTCTGGAGTCATGTTTTGAAACAGACTAGGTCATTAGATGTAATAATGTGGACAATTTATCAGTTAACATTTTGGACAGCACAGTGGATCAGTGGCTTGAAGTGGCAGGGGCCCAGGTTCGATTCCAGTCTCGGGTGACTGTTTGTGTGGTGTTAGCACATTCTCCCCGTGTCTGCATGGGTTTCCTTTGGATGCTCCAGTTTCCTACCATGTTCCAAAGATGTTCAGGTGAGATTGATTAGCTATGGGCAATATAGAGTCACAGGGATAGGGTGGAGGCGTGGGTCTGAGTGGGATGCTCTTCAAAGGGTCAATGTGGACTCAATGGGCCGAATGGCCTGCTTCCACACTGTAGGGATTCTATGAACACAGAGTACTTGATCATAAAATTGTGCTTTATAAATATCACATGGTTAATTAGATGACATAAAGGTGATAACAGCATAACTAAGCTAAGGTTGAGGCCTGAATTTGTAACAACCAAGAGATAAACTTCTTTCCAAGAAGAAATGAGCAAGTCTTAATGAATAAATTAATTAACTCAGCCATGGGAGATGCCACGTTTGTGATGTTTGCCAGTGGTCAGTTTGATAATTTGTTAATTAAAAGATATAAAGAAGACTTGCCTCAGAGTGTAGTTAGCTAACAGAAAAGGTTGTCTGATCAATGACTGGAAGTTGAGACAGGACGGTTGGATCTCAGTCTGATCCTCAATCATGTGTATGTAAATAGGTATACTCATAATTGGAAGCATTATATGGATAAAATGCTTTTGCATTATTTTGTGGTGTAGTTTGTTTTAATAAATAGCATAGGATATGTCCCATTGTTAGAATTGCCTTGGCTAATTAAGATCCAAAATAAACCTGATGGATTAGGGTAAGTAGGAATAAAAGTGCACGATGCAAAAATGCTTTGCATTGATGTTTATTTTCCTGATGAGTATCTGTCTTTTTTTCCAGTAATATTCAAGTTCTGTACCTCTGCATGACTACGCTTTAGTTGGCTTGGATTGTAGCATGAGAACTCTTAAGAGGAGCTCTAAGGTGAACGCCAGTTGCAATTTCAAATCTGAATGATTCTTAATATGTCCTTACTTGGGAAATTTCTGGGGTATCGAGCTAATCAAATAAAGTCGGTACAAACCATGGAAAGCAAGAATGGACAGAAGGGTCTGGGCCCGAAATGTCAGCCTTCCTGCTCCTCTGATGCTGACAGCTCTATACCTTGTTATCTCAGATTCTCCAGCATCTGCAGTTCCTACTATCTCTGAAACAATTATGCAGATTCATCATGGCTCGCAAATACTATGGGCCATTAATGTTGAAGGGGAGTTTTCACACCCTGCAATGTACTTTAAGAGCGTGGGAGTGATAGATAAGGCCACAATGTGTCTCTGGAAATGAGTATAAAGAAGTAGCTTGGAGATAAAACCTGCTTATCTTTTTCTAGCAGAGTGATGTGACCTAAGTGAGCCTGGTAACTGATATTCCCAAGTGATCCGCTGTAGTATTGTCTCTACAGTTTTGAAATTGAATTCTAAGGCATTAAGGTGTAGAATTCCTACCTACTGCAATCAATAATGCTGCTTTCCTGCTTTCTAATATTAAAAGCACAAAACTCCAAGATTGCTTTGCAATTAAAGATCAAGCTACTGGCCATTTCGTGGAGCAACCCAGGAAAGAAAGGCTAGATAGTGTTTGTTTTCTTTCATTCTCTTCATTTTCTTTAAAAATCAGGCTAAAAGATATTAGACATGATACAGTATAGAAGGTGGGGTGGGGATCTGTGTGAATGGGTGGGACAGTAGTTCATTTAATAAAGCCTACAGAATTGTGGCCAACCAGAGTTAAAAACCCAAATTAATGGATAATCAGTGGCTTCACACCATGTTCCTCCGTCCAGCATTTTTACCCCATTCAACTCGAACAGGCTCTAACATCTTTCTGTTAGTTGGCTGTACGTAGGGGGAGACTGTCAGGATGTGTTGCAGTTAGAATCACTCAACTAACATTTGTGGGCTTCTCCCAACAACAGCTCTTCACACCATCCAGTTGCAGAAGATACAGTGGTGCCCAAACCCGGTCAGAACCATACCCGCACTGTTCAAGTTGTAGGGCCTGGGGACAGAGCCGAAAGGCTTTGAGGTGGTGGGAGTGGGGGGAAAAGGAGGAAGAAAGAAGAACTCTGCAATCTTTGAAAAAAAATGTCAAGGAAACAAGAGGAAACCACAACAGGGTCTTACAGCTGTGTGATGTCCAGCACGGGCAACCTGTTCAATATGGGAGAGGCAGCACCGACTGAAATTTCCTCCGAGTAGGTGATGGGTGGGTTGTCGCAGGCAGCCTTCACCTTCAGCTGTGGAGATTTCTCACTGCAGCTTGCGACCTCCTGGTTCTCAGTTTTGTCGGAACAAATGCAGTGGTCTGTGCAGCAGAGGGCAGCGTTGGTTATGACCCGGTCCATTGGCTTCAGGGAGTGCATCCAGATGGGGAGGAAGTCCCACGACTGGAGCTTCTTGGGCAGGTAACTGGGCCTACGCGTTTGCAATACATTGGTGATGCCTATGAAGACAAGGATGCCCACAAAGGGGGCACCCACTCCAATAAGGACCTCCCAACCAGCCATGGATAGGCCAAAGATCAGCGAGGGGAGCAGAAGGAAGCAGATGATCAGGTACAAGACAGCAAACCAGCGGTACTTGGCAGTTCGTTCTCCCAAGGTCTTTGCCATGCGGATAGGAAAACGAGTAATCGGAAGTGGGTACCACAGTATAATCCCAGCAATGTTGAAAAAGAAATGGGAAAGGGCGATCTGCAAAAAGGAAGAGGTAAAATGTAAATTGGTGTTCCTCGTTATTTACGAGAAGACATCTCTTAACTGGTCCAAGCATGATAGTGTGGAACATCTTTTTTTGGAATTAAGATTGACTGTAAATTTTGGCACTATAAGAAACCAATTGGAATTTGATCCCCTTGCTGATGACAGGATAGCATTTCTGGTGTAGAAAGATAAGACATTCTAGATGGGGAGTGACCATGACCTGTTAAATTTGGTTCTAAAATGGACTCCAAGTTTAATTTTGTCTCAAAGATTTGAGGCAACTGTATGATTCAATAAGCCTCAGCGGGCAGTGTGTGACATGCTGATTTAGAGATTCATGTGAGTAGACTGGGGCAATTGAAGTGAGAGTTGCAGCGCAAATCATCTCAACTGCAAACATTTTAGCTTACTCAACTCCAAGATGTTTTACATAACTGACTCTTTCAGATTTAAGGGAATTTTTATATACAATATAAATATAATTTATTTTAGAGTTTAGATTTTGATCTAGTGGCATGTGGTTTAGTCTGTGTGAATGAGTGGATTTAATAATTAACTTGTCAGGCTTTCTCAAGTGGTGATTGCGTACTAGTTTTCAAAACTAGTGTGAAGGAACCAGGATTATTTTTGTTCTGGTTAAGGAAAAACCCTTAAGTTGGAAAGCTTTAAGCGTCAGTTCACAAAAGACCTACTTGAAGCGAGATCAAGAAGTTTCTTCTGAAGAAGGGAATTAGGTCAGAATTTTTAGGAAATAGGTTACAGTGTAATGGTTTTCTTTTGAAATTGCAGACCTGAAGTACTTGGTTAGAACAGTGAAGGGGTTATTTGAAGCTGAAAAAATCTAAGCTTGATTGTGTAAAACAAGAGACTATCAAAGTGCCAAGACTGGGAATTGAAAGAAAGTTAAGTCAAACATATAGATCTAATAAACAGGAGAACTCTCTTTGGTATTTGAGTAGTTTAAAATGATGGTGTTAGGTTAGATAGGATCATATATTTACAATGTTTTTCTGAATTTTAAAAACTATATTGTACGTAAATCGGAGACAACAAGGTGCAGGGCTGGATGAACACAACAGGCCAAGCAGCATCATAGGAGCAGAGAGGTATGTAAATCGCTTGATTTATTCTATTCATTTCTTTTGCATAATAAATTTCCGTTTTATTGTGAAAATGAAATCAGCAGAACTGCATGCTTATGTTCAGTGAAAGACCACCTTGTTTAGTAAAAAGTGGGATATGATCTATCTAATAACATCAGCTCCGATCATATTACTTTCAAGGGATCATCAAAAAAGTCAACGAGTCATGTTCAATCCTTGGTTTGGTCCATGTTATTTACTTCAGTCACTTAAAAAATAAACTGACCTATAATTGATCTCAGTGCTCAATCTCAGGAGAGTTAAAATGAATTGGGATTTCTCCTCCTCATTGTGTTCTTTTGGAGAGTAGGTATGTTAGAACATAATGTGATGGACATTATTGGCTCAATACCTGCTGAATTGCATTAGCAAGATGCACACATGAAAGATTTAAATTAGGTGAATGAGAATTTCCAATGACCTCTACAGCCAGGTCCCATCCCAGGTCAATACATTTTGAAATGAAGTGGTAACTAAATCGGGAACATTTATTGAAATATAAATCCGATATAGTCCTAGATGTATTTCCCCATTTGTGTTCATCACCACATAGAAAGACTCATAACTTTGTGATAGAGGTATGGCTTTACCTGGAAAGCACTTGGTAACATGTCACCTGGACTGGCCAAAGCTGCCAAGACTGCAGTGGTGGTAGTGCCAATATTGGATCCCAGGGTCAAAGGGTAGGCACGCTCAATGCTGATCACTCCAATACCTAGACAACATGACAGAACATCACACCCTGGAACTAATCAAACAGTACACACAGCTTATCAAGTACCTAACTTATCCAAGCCAAGAAACCTTGTGCAGTGATTTAAGAACTGAGGTCAGAACTGTAGACCATTAGAGTCTTACTGATTATCCAGTGAAATTCTAATGATATGGATCTTCAAGACTGACTTTTATGAAAATGCACAGAATAATAAGATGTCTGTCAGTGCAGGATTGAGATGGGCGCACCAGTAACCTTTACAGGTAATGATAGAAATGATTGCACCAAGAAAACTGACCAAGTACAGGATTAAAATGGAGCTGATATGAGGAAGGTTGGGGGGACGGAGTGGAGGGGTAATTAAAACAGAAAGGAAAAAAGAAAGGGAGAACTTTTCAAGTGTAATGACTAATGTGATAGAGGAAACACAACGTAAAGTGCCTTCTGCCAGCTCCTACAATCAGTAGTGTAACAAATGACTGGATTTAGGTGTTGGTTGAAAGATATATATTTGACTGGACACTGAGAAGGCTTCTTCATAACATCACTTCACCACTCCACTTAGCTGATTTGAGAAGATCGTTCAAGCATTGACTGAAAGTGTCACCTGAGAAATGAGAGTGCAGTATCATCCCTCAGAACCACAGTGGAGAGTTAGTCCAGATCATGTTGCTGAAACATCTGCAGTGGAGCCTGACCCCAGAACCTTCAGACTTTGAGGTGAGAATTCAAGAGCTGAACTTGACAAGATATTTTGGATCTCCAGTGTTGGGATGAGGTGGAACGGGGGTGAGGTGGGTCCCAGGTGAGGTGGGTCCCAGGTGAGGGGGGTACCAGGAGGACTGGGTGAGGGTCAAGGTTAGGGTTAGAGTTAAGTGGGTCCCATTTGCTTCCACCATCCATAAAATACTAGCAGCTTCGCAATTACTTTTCTTGGGATGTGGGTGTTCTTTTTCCCATCCCTGAATGCCCCTGAACTGAACAGTTTGCTCAACCATTTTCAGAGGGCAGTTAAGAATCAAACACATTGCCATGGGTCTGGATTCACATAGTGGGAGGCAATGGCCTAGTGGTAGTATTGCTGGACTGCTAATCCTGATACCTAGGCAACATTCCAGGGACCCGGGTTTGAATCCCTCCATGGCAGATGTGGAATTTGAATTCGATAAATGGCTGGAATTAATAATCTAATGATGACCATGAATCCATTGTCAATTGTCGAAAAAACTCACCTGGTTCACTAGTGTCCTTTAGGGAAGGAAACTGCCATCCTCATCTGGTCTGGCCTACATGTGACTCCAGACCACAGCAATGTGGTTGACTCTGAACTGCCCTCTGGGTAATTAGGGATGGGGCAATAAATGCTGCCTAACCAGCAATGCCCAAATGCCGTGAATGAATAAAGGAAAAAAAAATAGGCCAGACGCGTAAAGAATGGCAGATTTCCTTCCATGAATGACTTTCTACAACAATCACTGAAAGCTTTCATGAATACCATTACTGAGAGTGGCTTCCAATTCTAGATTTATCAATAGAATTTAAATTCCACCAGCTTGACTCCTTGTGCCTAGACCATGAGCATCTAGCTCTGGATTACTTGTCTGATTGTATTACCATTGTACCACTATCCACCTGCAATGTGTCCCTTTGAAGGCCTTTAAATATTGGGACAGATGACCCACCTCGCTTCCCCTTCCCGATATAATCCCCCCAATATCTTACTGCCCAGCCCATGCTATGAACCCACTATCTAGAGAATGATGAAATTCTGCCTAAGATACTGTTGCACTTTTAAAGAGGGTAGAAGGAAACACGAGACTTGGGTTTCTGCACGAATTATTTGAAGGTGTTAGGACAAGTTGATAATGTGGCTCAGTTCACATCCTTGGCCTGATTGATTGAGGTAGAGACGAGAATCTTCTGGAATGATATTATTCACAGGCACTGGGATAGTTTCCAGGTTCTAGACAATGTCAGTCACATACCCACTTGCATAACCTTACAAGTGGTGCCCAATCAACAGGTTGCCTCCGAGTTTACCATCCAGTTTAGGGTAACAGGTGGCACATACGCTCGAGGGTGGTTGGCAATCAGAGGGCATGATGGGAGAGTTAGCTGATAGCCCTTTAGGGACAGTGAACACTGCTGAGGAACAGCGACACCCAGAGGGTACGTCAAAATGGAGCCACCCATTAAAGGATCCAGGCAGGCTATTATAAAAACTAAGTCTAGTATGCTGAGGGATCCTCAGGGCGGTTGGGATAGCAGGCATATTTTGCGACCATTATAACACTTTGAGTGTTGTGTCACCCAGATACCAGCATTTATATCTATTCCATCCCACTGACTGAATGCCTCCGAGTGTTCCCAGGTTCCTGACACAGCAAGGACCCAGTTGCGATGCCAGCCAACTTGCAACACTTTCAGGAAGTGGCCCTTTACTAAGACCATAATGACACTGATTTCCGGTCTACCTTCACTGATTGGGTTACTGATTCTAGTGGCAGCACCTCACTAGGAATCTTGTCCAGGTCTTTAAAAGAGCTGTCCTAACTTGGTTTTCCGCCACTTTCCAACCCTTCCCATCTCCAAAACCGAATTTCATCAGATAGAACATGAAAGGAAATTCCTCTAAGCTGTTATAAATCATCAGTTAGGCATTGATGAGAGTGTTGTGACAAATTCCGGGCAGAGAGAATGTCAAGGCCTCGGAGAGAGGATTTAGCAGTAGGGTACAAATGATCAGGAGCAGTTCCTTCAAGAGGTTAGGGAAGCTGGAAGTGTTCTCCTTAGAGCAGAGAGGTCCTACAGTGTTGAAAAAGCCATTTGACCCATCAAGTCTACACTGACCCCCCCCAAAGAGCATCCCATCCACACTTGCCCCTCTATCCTATCGCTGTAACCTTGCATTTCAGGCGAGTGTTGTGTTGATCTGATTCCTGGCCTAGTGGTATTATCGCTGGAATGTTAATCCAGAGACCCAGGTAATGTTCTGGGGACCCGAGTTCGCATCCCGCAATGGCAGATGGTGGAATTTGAATTCAATAAATATCTGGAATTCAGAGTCTAACAATGACCATAAGTCCAATGCTGATTGTTGGGGAAAAACCGATTTGGTTCACTCATCCCCTTTAGGGAAGGAATCTGCCATCCTTACCTGGTCTCCATGTGACTCTAGACCCACAGCAATGTGGTTGACTCTGAACTACCCTCTGGGCAATTAGGGATGGGCAATAAATGCTGCCTAGACAGCGATGCCCACATCTTGTGAATGATTAAAGGATTTCCAACGGCTAATCCACCCAGTCTGCACATACCTGGACACTATGGACAATCCACCTAACCTGCACATCCAAGGAATGTGGGAGGAAAACTGGAGCAAACTCATGCAAACACAGGGGGAATGCACAAACTCCACACAGATGGTTGTCCAAGGGTAGAATCAAACCCAGGTCTTTTTACTGTGAGGCAGCAGTGCTAACCACTGAGCCACCATGCTGCCCCACAAAGGTTAATGCAACACTTAATGGAGGTGTTCAGAATTATAAAAGGTATGAAGAGAGTGAAAATAGAAATCTTCTTTCTGTGGGAAGTTTGATCTCATGAGGAAGCAAGTTTAAAAGAATTAGTGGAAAGGTGAAGACACGTTTTGTTTTCGACGATATTATGATCTAGTAGACATTGTCTGTACGGGCGGCGAATGCCTAATCATTAGTAGCTTTTGGCATTATCAACCTTGCACCTACTATGGCCACACTGGATTTTAATTCCAACATATGATGTTTAAAAGAGGACTGAAGCAACCAGGATGACTGTGAATGTAAATTCACTGGCAGTCTGGAGAGAAAACACCTGGAATGTCATACCTGCGTGTGTCAAAGAAGCTTCCAAGGGCAAAAGGCAATACAAACAGAGCTGTAATCTCTTGGGATCTATTTCAGACTGTGAATGCAATGGAAAAGCAGGGAAAGAGACAATGTTTGAGTGTTCTCCTTTTAAAAATGTACAAGGATAGAGGTTAAAATCCAATACAACCACGGTCTGTGTGTGCTAGCGGAAGAATACGTGCTAGTGAAATGCGATGCTTGTGGGTACCAGTGTACATTTGTGCGCTAGCCTTAGTTTGAAAGCTAACATCACAGTTAAAGGACTCTTTGTCACCCCTGCATTGTAGATAAAGGGCGCTTTTGCTCTCAGCGCTGACAGCTAACCACCATCAAAAGGAAGTAGGATAAAAGAAATTCAATTCACTTTCAAAGCCAAAAATCCCAAATTTGACTAATCAGTTATCAATATTCAATTATGTATTCTTCACAAGTGAGCCATGAAGACTGATCTCTATATTACTTAAAATGTTCCTTTTTTGACTCACTTATCATTTATCATCTGTGTATTTAGGAACTAATGAATCATTCATTTCTTTAATTCATGACAGCATGAATAAATTGGCTCCTTTTGAATAGAAATGTATCTGGGTCTGGGGGAAAGATATCCACAAGACAGAGGATACTTTGTAAATTAATCATTTTGTGATTACCCAAGTGGGTAGGTGTGTAACGAAGAAGCGTCAGTTCATTGTAGCTCACCCTGGAATTTGACAACTTGGGGTATCTGTCGAGAGCTGCAATAACTTGGGAGTCCTTGATGGGTCTGGTTAAAACTATCAAATGGATGGTGGATATATGCTTGAAAGGGAAAGAATTGTAAATGATGGGGACTGATAGAGCCAGCACAGACATAATGGGCCCAATGGCCTAGGTGCATGCAGTAATTCCATGATTCAGAGACACTTTATGGTTTGGCCGCTACATTGAAAGGCCTATGAGCTTACCAATGAGGGGAGTGATGGCTGAAGTGAACACTGAGCTGCTTTGGACAACGAATGTAATGCCAGCTCCCACCATCATGGCAAGATACCCTGCCAACCAACCAAATGGATATGGGAAATCTGAAATCAAAGAGAGAACATGGCATGAAATAGGTTTGATTTGCCATCTGTCTGAGCATCAGCAGTTACAATCATTCACCTCACTGATCAGAAAGTGATCAGTCTCAATAACTACTGACCTGCTATTCATGATCATTGGAAATTTTTTATCCTCAACTGTAAATCTGCAAACTAGAATTTGCTTCTTAGGATATAATTTTATGATTAGTCCACAGGCTAAGGTAACAGTCCCCCGCAATAGCATTTTTACTTCATCTGGCTTTGGGATTTGGGTGTCAATAGCAAGTCTGGCATTTATTGACCGTTCCTAGTTGGCCTTGAGAAGCCAGTGGTGGTCTTCGTTTTGAGCTGCTACAGTCCCTGCAGTAGTAGGTGTTGCACACTCTGTTATGTAGCATGCTCCAGAATATTGACCCAGCGGCAATTAAAGAGTTTTCATGCTATTTCACACATTTCTACTTACTTATTATTTAACGCCAGAGTATTGAGTTTCTTCTGTAAATGCAGTAATCCATTCTCTTGTCCTATAGATATGGCTTTGTTGACTACCAAGAGGTGTTTGGGGGTAAAGTTCCTGACCTAAATTACTCTGGTCATTATATGTGGAGATATTCTGTTCTTTTAAGTACAACCATGTGTGGTCCTTTGTCCCTCTATGATTGACATTCACCTTCGCCTTTGTATGAAATATCTCTCACAAGTATCTGAGAGCTTAGGATGGATTAGAACTACACACAATGCAACTGTACAAACAATTAATACTTATTATTCAGAAAGCTGTATGCATAAGCATGGTGGAAGGGTGCCATAGAGTCATACAGCACAGAAACAGACCCTTTGGTCCAACTGATCCATGCCGAACATAATCCCAAACTAAACTAGTCCCACCTGCCTGCTCCTGGCCCATGTCCCTCCAAAGTTTTCCTAAGTGTCTTTTAAACATTGTAGCTGTGCCCGCATCCACCACTTCCTCAGGAAATTCATTCCACACATGAACCACCCTCAGTGAAAATAAAATTGCTCCTCTCATCGTTTCTTATCTCTTCTCTCACCTTTAATGCTCAACCCCCCCAGTCTTGAAATCCCCCATCTTCGGAAAAGGACCCCTACCATTAACCCTTTATATATCCCTTATGATGTTGTAAACCTCCATAATGTCATTCTCAACTCCCTACCCATCCCCCCCCCCAGTGAAAGAAGCCCCAACCTCTCAATGCCCATGTGGTCTGAAACCATCCTGTGATACCTCCTTGTGCACATCACAAGCTATTGTTACAGTATTGGTACAATTAACCCATTACTCGACAGCCTTTGATATCATGGGTCCCGTTGCTGAACTCCTGCATTGATGTGGGTGTTGATGTCTTCTAAAATTTAACTTCTGTTACCCTATCCTTTATGGAAAGCAACTTCTCACATCACACTTCCCGTCAAATACCACTGCTAACTCTAATTAGGAGATATAAAGAGATATCATGAAAAGTTCTGTAGCCTGATAGAGTGTTGAGATGTTCGGTTCCCACTTCTGTGGTCTTCCTTCCATCCTGGCAATGAGGATTGAGGCCAGACAACTGTTTAAAGTAGCCTTGATCCATAGTTTCTGAGCTTTACCTATGAAGTTTATTACTGACAGTTTTGGACTGGTCCATCTTTTCCGGCAAGATGTACATGTTCTCAGCATAATTCTGACTGGACAAAGTGCAATGTATCTGGAAATCTGAACTAAAAGCACAAACTACAGGAAACACACAGGACATGTGTCAGCGTCCACAGCAGAAAGATGGCAGATTTAATAGGTCAGACTGATAACCCTTTGGATGAAGGTTCATTAATCTGAAATGCCAAATTCTACTTTTCATGTGCTGCCTGAGTAGCTGAGTGCTTCATGCTTTTATTTCACTTTAACTTAGGTTTGCTAAACCTCTGCTCAGAAGTAATGGTAAAACTTGAGTATTTGTGTTAAGTGGCACAAGCAAATCCACTGCAGGCACTGAGAGGTACAGCATAGAATGAGGCCCTTGATCCACAGTCAGCCACTCACCAGTGTTAATGACGTTTTTGATGGCTTTAGCAACTTGTCCCCTCAGCATAGCATTCAACAACTTGACGATCAGGACCAGGCATGTGCAGAGAACCACCAGCGAACCAGCCAATAGGATCAGGCCCACCACTAGATCAGACATAGTGGAGTTCACAAACAAATGGTTACCTGGAAATAAGGCACAAACAACAAATGATCAAACAGTCATTTGTGATTAAGACAGGCGGTTCCTGCACTGACAACAGATGAAGGGCTTACTGAGCAACATAATCACCAAACTCTCAACAATCCAATGACTCATTTTCCATGTGCTGACTACGACTGCTGAAATGCACGAGGTTTGGTTCAGCTACTGGAAGAAGGTTTTCTCCAAGTTTGAGGTGCTCGCCATTGTCAGTGGCCTGAGATATGTATGAGCATTAGCCTGAGTTCAAATGCCAGTGCGCTGTGAAGTTCACAGCAGAAGAACCAATCACTAATTAACCCTGCATTGCAGGTAACAATCACTCACTCTGAGCAATAGAAGCTAGTTAACCAGGAAGCCATTCAAAAGGAAACAGGACAAATGAATTTCAACTAACTTGCAAAGCCAAGAATCCCAAAATCAAATGTTTGACTGTTAACATTCCCCTATCCATTCTTCACGAGCAACACAGAGATTGACCAATGTGCCTTTTAACTTTTATCTTTGCTTGAACTTATCTCTCATTTCTAATCCCCACCTCTGTGTATTGTGTTATTATTTCTTCTTGTATTTAGTAACCAACAAATTTTCGGTCTGTTCTCTCCGCTGGTAAATTTCTACCTAAGTCTCAAAACCTTAAACTGTTTTGCATCATATTGCTATAGAATCAACAGAATAACAGCAAATATCTAAAATAACAATGTTTGCATGTGTATGTAATGTGTGTCTGCGTGTGTGTGTGTGTGTGTTTTTGTGTGTGCATGTAATGTGTGTTTTTTTGTGTGTGTGTGCATGTGCATGCGTGTGTGTGCGTATGTAATGTGTGTGTGTGCATGTGTGTGTTTTTTTGTGTGTGTGTGCGCGCGCGCGTGTGTGTGTCTGTGTGTGTGTATGTAATGTGTGTGTTTTTTTGTGTGTGTGTGCATGTGCATGCGTGTGTGTGTGTGTGTGTGTGTGTGTGTCTATTTATGGATATATAACTGAACATGAACCGTAAGACCATTAATATTGTAGGACATACGAGCAGAAGTAAGTTATTTGGCCCATCAAGTCTGCTCCAAAACTCAATGAGATCATAGCTGATCTGACAATCCTCAACTCCACTTGTCTTCCTTTTCCCCATAACCCTTGAATCTCCTAATGATTAAAAATCAGCCTATCTCATATCTGAATACTAAGAGATGTCAAGGCATTATTAAAAAGTAACTACAAATCTTATTATTAATCAACAAAAGCATTATGTTCTTATTCTGTAAAGTATACATTTGCACAAATATATAAACAAGCACCAAATTGCAGAAATTATGTTCACACGTACATTTCTCAAAGTTTTCTTCATATGTTCTGTTGACTAAAGTCCAAGTAGAATTCTTGTCTTGCCAGCATGATTCAGGTGATGAGCACTTCTCTAGACTTTCCACAGTGATGTTGTCCTGTAGCTGTAAACAAGGTCCCATTAACACACACCAGGAAGTCCACAAAAGACTACAGTAGCAGTCAGTTTTAAGGTGGTTTTATCAACATCATTGCAACCTGGATGTGGATGAAAAAACTCATCCATCGAGATTGAAGAACCACAGCATCTATCAGCATTTTTAAGGGGTTGCAAAGGTTTTTACCCCTATGCAGGAGTCTATTCCATGCCTTAAACACTCATCATGTAAGGAAAATCTTCTTCACATCAGTCCTAAAATTGCTTGGCTTGTATTCATTTATATATCACTAGAGGAATATGAGAATTCTGGTCTGTGCTTGCAACAACTATTTGTGATGGAGTTTGAAAGTCTCTACCAGAGGTAGCCAAACCTTCAAAACTGGGAGATGTAAAGAATAATATTCATTGATATCAGGGCAGCACAGTGCCAGGGACCTGGGTGTGATTTCAAATTCAGGTGACCGTCTGTGTGGAATTTGCATATTCTCCCTGTGTCTGTGTGCGTTTCCTCCGGGTGCTCCGGTTTCCTCCCACAGTCCAAAAATATGCAGGTAAGATGGATTAATCATGCTAAATTGTCCATAGTGTCCATGGATGTGCAGGCTAGGTGGAACAGCCATGGAGAAATGTGGGCCTAGGGCAATAGGGTAGGGGTTGGTTCTGGGTGAGATGCTCTTCAAAGGCTCTGTGTGCATTCAATGGGCCAAATGGCCTGCTTCCACACTGTAGTGTTTCTATGATTCTATGACATTTGAGAGCCATAAAGGAAAGGGCTATCTGTACAGACATATTTTTATTAGAATTACACACACCAGCTTTGTGAGGAAATATATTTATCAGGAATGTGGGCACAAATATCTCTAAACCTCCAGGCTTCTTTCACACACAATACAGATCTTGACGTATACGAAAGAAAGAACTGCGGATGCTGGAAATCAGAAAAAAAAAATAGAAATTGATGGGAAAACTCAGCAAGTCTGGCAGTATCTGTGGAGAGAAAGCAGAGTCAACTTTTCAGGTCCAGTGACCTTTCTTCAGAAGTGACCTCCTGTTCTGAAGACAAATAAACACAAGTAACCAACTTTATGCTATACTTTTATCATGATCACATGGATTTAAATTTATAGAGGTAAAGGAAAACACAGAACAGATAGACATAAAATTAAATGATATTTAATTTGATTTCCTGTCTGTTTTTATTCTGTCTGTTGTTTCACTTTGGTATTCTATTAACCTTCTGCTATTTAATTCATTATTCCCAATTTTTTCTTATAGAATTAGAGAGTTATAGACATCTATAATGTAGCATAGTACTTTCAGCCCATATGTCAGTGCTGGTTTTAAAATTATTATGCAAAATAGTTCCAATTCCTCACGTTCTGGTCCATATTATTATAGTTTATGGATCTGTAAGTGAATTTCCAAGCTTTCTATTTTTCTACAACCAACATAATTTGTTTGTTCTCCTTTTCTCTTTACCTTTCACTTCTTATTTCCATTCTAAATTCTGCCTCTTTTCTTCTGTTTCCTGATTTTCACTCCCACACTCCCTTTCGTGTCCCCTCGCCTCCCACACCCGCCCCCCCAGACCTCCCCTTTCATCCTTTACTCCTTCTCCCCTTCTTTATAAAATTTTTAATCACCAACTCCTTCCGGTTCTAACAATAGGTTATCGACTTGATGTGTTAACTGTTTCTCCCTCCATAGATTTCCCCCAAGCCTATTGCATTGAGCCAGCATTTCCTATTCCAGAAATCAGATCATGGTACCTGGCTTTGAAAGGGTGCAAAGAAACCTAAAGATTCACATGTGCAGGTATTTGAATGGTGGCAGTACAAGTTGAGAATTTTTCTACGTGGCATATTTGAATGTTGCTTTAGAAATAGAGCAAGAGCGTGCAAAAGCAAAAGTGTCACATGACATCAAAATGACAGACTGGTTAGAACTCAGCTGAAGATTAGGGAATCATTAATTAGGCTATTCAGCCCATCTTCTCCAAGGGCATTTTGTCCAGTGTCACTCCGCTGCTTTTCCTCAATACCTCAATCATTCTTCTTCTCTTTAGACATTAATCCAATTCCCTTTTGAAAGCCACATTTGAATCGGTTCCACTGTGCATTCCACATCGAAACACCTCACTGCACACAAACATTTCCTCTCACTTTGCCTTTGATTCTTTTGCCATTTGCCTTAACTCACATCTTTGGACTTAGGTTTGATAAGAATGAATGGAAGCACTAGATTTGCCCTTGCTTTAAATTTATTACCTAATTTTTGCAACCTTTATAATCACCGAACACTAGAACCTCCAAGCTCTCTGCTTCTCTGACCCTAAACTTAATGCATCCATCCCTTCCTTGACTCCACCTCCACAGTTGTACCTTGAGCAACTGGGTCGCACTTAGTGGAATTTTCTTTTTATTTGTCGACGATTAAAACTGGCCTTGTAAACACTGCTCACGTTCCATGATCTCATTGAATGGCAAATTAGGCTTGACCAGCTAAACGGTCACTCTTCCTTACTTGACTTGATGTGAACATAGTGGCCAACGCCCAGCTTGAACCACATCAGTCTGTGTGGCGCAATGCTATTGGTTATGGAATTCCAGAATTCTGATCCAGCAATGTTAAAGGAACTGTGGGACACTATCCCATACATCAGGCGGTTAGATTAATCTGTGCTACCCAATGACCACTCCCCCAATGCACACCACCTCAAACTAAATCTGAAGCAATATTTGACATTACTGAAGGCCCAAGATACTTTCTTACTTGAACAGTCCTTTTGATGCACCAAATCTTCACGAGACTCTTGTTTCGAAAACTTTCATCCCCAATCGCTATTGCAGTGATGACAGATTTATCAAGCTAAGAATAAGACACAATATCAAAACCAAAGGAAACAAGATACATTGCACAAGCATTCAATTGAACTGAGAACTCATCCTATCGTGACATTGCCTGTGGTTACAGAATACAGAGTCCGATGGTGGATATCCTAGCCAACAGTGAGGTTCAGGTTTCTGTGTGAAGCTAAGGTGATCTCCAATGCTTTACAGTATTGTATAAAGGAGATTTCACTCATAGTGTAGCTCTCAGCTGTGTGCCAGAGAGCGATGGGAATCTGGAACTCACTACCTGTATGTGCGGTAGAGGTAGAAAACCCTGATAACATTGAAGAAGTATTTATACGTGCATTTGTAATGTCAAGGTATGTAAGGCTGTAGGCCTAATGCTGGAAAACAGGGTCAGAATAGTTTGGTGATTGTTTTTGATTGGCACAGATGCGATGGGCCAAAAGGACGTTTCTTCTACACTGTAGATTTCCATGACTCTATGAAACAATGGACCTCTATCTGGCAACTACATTTAATGACCTGACTTAGCCTTCACCTCCTTAAAATCTCACTCCAGTCTGCTAAAATGGTAGAGCAACATGCTGGATTAAAGTTCAAATAATGAAGAACAAGTATGCATTCACAGGTGAATAAAAACACATAGCTTAGCAATGGCATTACATAACTCATATATTTCAAGTAGACATTTTCCAATGCTATTTCTCGAATGAACACTTTTTAAAAGGTCATCCAAGTGCTAATTCTTTTGCAATTTTCAAATGTTGAACAGTGATAGAATCATGACAGCAGGAAATGAATCAAAGCAGTGTCTCAGAAATTTAAGTCAATTCCTGTTTTGATCAGCATAAAACAAACTCTGATTTGAACAGAACAGCTAAAGGAATGATATTTGGTACCTGCAGGTCTTTGGTGATGTAACTATTGACATTTTAATAGGAGCCGTTAGCAATATAAAAAGTGAACCAATTGTACAACACTGATTAAGTTTGAGTGTTTCCTCATTCCAGTTTGCGATTTTAAAAAAACTTGCAACAAAAGGCTATGAACCTTGAAATCACTTGTGAACATAATTGTGAGTTTTACTTTGGTAGCATATTAATATACAGTAAAGGTCAGGTTGCAGCTGTACAGGACATTGGTTAGGCTACTTTTGGAATATTGCATTCAATTCTGGTTTCCCTGCTGTTGGAAAGATGTTGTTAAACGTGAGAGGGTGCAGAAAAGATTTACAAGGATGTTGCCAAGGTTGTAAGGTTTGAGCTACATGGAGAGGCTGAATAGACTGGGGCTATTTTCCCTGGAGTGTCAGAGTTTGAGGTGTGGTTTTACATAGGTTTATAAAATCATGAGGAGCATGGACAGGATGAATGGACAAGGTCTTTTTCGCAGGATGGGGAAGTCCAAAACTGGAGGGCATAGTTTAAGGAGAGAGAGGAAAGACTTTCAAAGGACCTGAGAGGCAACTTTTTCAGGCAGAAGGTTGTGCGTGTATGGAACGAGCTGGCAGAGAAAGTGGTGGAGGCTGGTACAATTGCAACATTTTAAGGCATCTGGATGGGTATACGAATAGGAAAGGTTTAGAGGGATATGGGCCAAATGCTGGCAAATGGGATTCAGTCAGATTGGGATATTTGGTCAGCATTGATGAGTTGGACCGAAGGGCCTGTTTCCGTGCTGAACAACTATGACTCTATGATATTACTATAACACTTAATTGGAATAAGGCACAGAAATCTAAACTGCATTTGGATATTTTGGTGGGATAGAATCACATGGAATGCACAGCACGGAGAGGGACTATTCTCCCCAATGGTCTTTTTTGATCCACTTGAACCTTAAGCATTGCGTCCGGATGTCCACCAATTTAAAATGAAACAAACTGCATCATGTTGTCATGTTCAGTTTGCATTATATATGTAACACACTGAATCCTCTTGATCAGTGGGGGAAATAGGGATATGGAATTCCTGTGTATAACAGAAAGCAGGGATACCGCTAGCTCTTCTGTCTACCCTACCAGGCAAGTCATGGAGGAAAGAGAAGAGTTGACCTCACGAGTCCACGAATTGTGGGTCAAAAATTGGCAGATAGCGAGAAGGCAGCGTCGATGGCACTAATAAAAGAACTGGGGTCCGTACCTGTATAATGTGGTCGGTGAATGGATCGGTAATGATACCAAGCAGGTTTGGAGCATCCTTCCCTGTCTGGATCTTGAAGCTGCCCACCACAACCTTGGTGAGTCGATATAAGAAGCCGCTGGCTGCCTCGATCGGAAGCAGCACCAGCACAGAAAGCCAGTTGAAGCAATCATGAACTGTCGCACCTGCAAAGGCCCTGTGACTCATTGAAAAAAAAAATGTGTGGCAACGACTTGAGAGAAAACTTACATGAGCAGTTCAGGTCACAGAGTCAGTGGGAGATGATCCCCTGTTAGTTCATTGATAAGCACATGGCCTGAGCTTTATATGGATCTACAAGACCCCATGCCTAGGTCTCAATGTCTATCCTGATCCCAACAAGAGCTGTAATGATGGTGAGATAATTTGCTCCCAGTTTCCTGGATTGGGGGAGATTGACCAAGGTTTTCATGAGCTGTTTGTATTCCAGTAACGCCTGGTGGAAATGGGGCTGGCAGAACTTGTCACAGACAAATTCAGGATGGGCCCTGTTCCCCCACGTAGTTAAGACATCCACTGATCTACAAATTTTAACCTGAGACTTAATGGAATGCACTTGTTGAACTGCAGTTTCACACTGCAAGTGCGAAAATGGGAACTTCATGCTTGGCTTTGAATGGTGGCCCCTTGCAAAATGTGTTGGGAGAACTGCCCAGACCTTGGGGTCTGTTGTCATGTATTTCCAGGACAGCTAGGGGGTAGTGGAAGCAAAGGTAATGGGTTTACCCATTGACAACATTGTTACCAAATATTCAAGGTCATGTACTGATTTTCATATTACAGTAGGCCAATTTACCACTCGACTATCAAATCCTAAACCACATTCTGGTGTTGATATCTGATCCATGTTTCATTGACATAGATACGTAAATTCTTAATTTAATTTCTGATCTCCAATTGTCTGTTTGACAGCCAGCACCTTGGCACACAGCTAGAATAAGTCTGAAAGTGGATATGCCTGCTACTCAATCCTCAGGCCTAATTTGTTGGATTAGTACCATAGAAAGTTTAAAGGCCTTACATATGATCACTACACCAGTAGGTAGTCTGAGTACTGAGGACAATGTTATATGGGGTTCAATTATTAATCCTGACTAGGACAGAACTCATTGGCCTGCATGGAAGCAAGCTCATACTCAAATCTCAGATGCTTTGAAAAAATCGCAATCTCAAAAGTTTCTAATTGCTGTAACATAATAGTGAATAGCATTGGTAACTCATAGTGCCTGGGACCTGAGTTCAATTCCACCCTCAAGAAATTGTCTGTGTGGAGTTTGTTCATTCTCCCTGTGTCTGCATGGGTTTCCTCTGAGTGCTCTGGTTTCCTTCCAAGCCCAAAGATGTGGAGGTTAGGTGGATTGGCCATGCTAAATTGCCGTAGTGTCTAGGTGGAGTAGCCATGGAAAATGCAGGGTTAGAGTGGGGGCGTGTGTCTAGATAGGATGTTCTTCAGAGGATTAGTGTGGACTCAATGGGACGAATGGCCTGCTTCCACACTGTAGATTCTATAAAAATAATTATTGGACAATCTTACCGTTTGAATTCATTTCTGTCTCCAGCTTGCATTAGGGCTACAATAGTGTTGGTTACGGAGGTTCCAATGTTAGATCCCATGATGATAGGAATTGCAGAACGCACTCCTAGTACTGAAAAGATAAAAAAAAGTATAAGTTGAGTTCATGTTTACTGTATACTTCAGATGTAGATTGTGCCACACAACATTGCAGATGATCATAAAGTGTTCCTGATACATTGCAATAAGACTGACCTATCTATTGGTATATATATTCACTTATACTGACCATCATCAGATCATCTAGCTGAGGTAGCTGTCAAAGTCTCACAATGTCAGGTCATGTAAAGTTAGAATTAGACGGTAGGTGGGTCTTTTCCAAGAGTATCGATGCCTGCAAGAGGCTGCTAGCTCATGTTGTGGGCATTAATTCATGAATTATTTCAGACCACAGCCGGACCTGTCTCTGGTTGGGGTAGATTTGACATCGCACAAGGCTAGGCCTCTACAGACACCGTAATCAAGGCCAGTGGTGTCATTGACTAGTTTGGATAACCTACGATTTGGATGAGAAATCTTCTGGATTAATTTTATCCAAATTAGGTCCAGAAACTATCTATGATTGTTTTTCATTTCTCATGGATTTTGGATGCCTGGGGAAAGTGTGTATGTTGTAACACACGGAGCCTTAGAGTTGACTGTTTGGGATGGACTTTTCCCCTTTGTACGTACTGGGTGCATCTGATATCAGCCCACAACTCGTTCGGCATCAGTGATTTAATGTTTACTGAGTAGCCCAATGGAAGGACTAGGACCCACACTCACAAGAAACCACCAAGGGCTGGAAAGAGAAAAGGTAAATTTACAAATCCCACTCTGCAGTGTTGGTTGTCCGACCTGCTCTCTCTCTCTTCAAACACAGCCTCATCAATGGGAACTTGGATTCAGTGATAATGAGGTAATCCCAGAAGTTGTGGTTGGGTAACGGCTGGTTAAGATTTTAATAGCCTGTAGATTTTAAGAGGAAGGGAAGAATGAGTGAGGTATGGAGCTCCACTGTAGTGAGATCCAAGGATAGAGTGGGATAGAAATTCATCTTAGCAGCAATGAAACATGGAAGAGAAAAGCTGCAGCTGCTCTAATACTCTGTCTGATTTTCTCATCCATTCAAGACCAAGGCGAATTTGTAACCCAATATGTTAGAGCAAATGAGTCAAGAGTCATTGATGTGTTAAAGGAGTTTATATCCCTCTTCCAAATGGGAATGTTTGAGGACTTATCCAAATTTTTCAACAGAAACTTTTGTGAAAACTACACAAACAACGCATCAGTGCCTTAGAAATCTTAGGTAAAGAAATCTGTGCAAGCTCATGCGGTGGAAAGTCTGTATTTTCGCAAAGTGTCAAGTCAAAGGCCCTGATCATCACAGGGAATCTGACAAAGGTTAAGGCATGGCAAGATATTGCAACAGAAATTCAAACCTATTTGAGGTCAGCTAGGCAATCCGAGAGCCACCCCCAAAACCTTCAGCTTGTACTTAGTTCCTTCCACATAGGTAAGTTGCATCCCTAGAGACAATAGACACATTTCCTACCAAAACTCAAAGAGCAAGTGATCTCCTAGGAGAAGTGAAAAATAGGTAAAAAAAAACCTAGTACAAGTTGGAGAAAAAATATTAGGGAAAGTGGAAGGCAACCCAAAGAAGATAATAGAAGGATTTACCTAAAGAGATGTGTTTTAATAATGGTCTTAAAGGAGGGGGTGGAAACTGGATTAATGGTCAGTTTAGGTTGATAATTCCAGAATGGGTACCCTCAATGGCTGAGACGTGGAAACCATTGAGAGGGTGAGAATGTGTAAAATATAAGTCAGAGGAACAGCGGCTGGATTTTACTAGAAGGCTGTGACCCTGTCCTCCATCTGAAAAGTTGGGATGACTCTGCCTCTGCCTGTTTGGGAAAGCCATGACCAGATTTTACGGTTATCAGGCAGTGAACTACCTGAGGTCATGTCGTCCTCATGCTTGTGGAAGGATGTCCCAACTCCAAAAGCTACCAGGGCTGGGGCTCTCCTGCACCAACAGTGCCACTGGGAGTGGTGGCCATCAATGAGTCTGCAGTCTGTCCTCAATGATGAGCAGCAAGAGGAGCTGGAGATCAAGGATAACAAGGTGTAGAGCTGGATGAACACAGCAGGCCAAGCAGCATCAGAGGAGCAGGAAAGCTGACGTTTCGGGCCTGAAACATCAGCTTTCCTGCTCCTCTGATGCTTCTTGGCCTTCTGTGTTCATCCAGCTCTACACCTTTTAACTCAGATACTCCAGCATCTGCAGTTCCTACTATCTCTAGAGCTGGAGATCAAGTTAAGTTCACAGTCTCACAGGCATGCTTTGGTGAGAGGGAATCATGGGTAGGAGGAACAGTGTCATGCAATCAGTGGTGAAGAGACACAGGGGTGTCTCTATTAAACACAAAATCCTCAAGCACTGTCTTCCTAACCTGCAATTGTTGACACATGGTGTCATGGTGTGTGATATAATACCAATAGTAGTGGAGTTGGTCCTGAGGTGATCAATAATTGGCCACTTAAGGCATCAGTTGATGAAATACAGGAAAATTGCCCAGCCAGTGGGCACAGCTAAGTGATGGGCATTGATCCAACACCCACCTGATTTTATTTTGCCCCTTCCAGGCAGCCTCAAATTCTGACCAGAGAATTTGTTAGGGTAAGGGTAGAGCAACTAGGGGGCTGCAAATTTAGAAAAGCAAACACAAAAGGATTTAAACATCAATGAAACTTCCTAATAGAAGGGAGGCTGATCGGTCACCGTCTAAAATATGAAATGGAGATCGATCTATGAATGACCTGAAATACATTAAGGGTGAAGAATGGGAGAGGTGGAATGAGAGCAAAGGAACAATTGTGTCTGGAGGCAGCAAAGACTGATGGATTTAGACAGAGTCAGACACAGGTGATATTATCTAGGTTGTAGTAGATGATCTTGTGAGGATATGGCGTTATTATCTCATCTGAGGCTTGAAGAAGACACCAAGACTACAAAGGGGTAGTCTTAGGTAATAGTTGTGACAATGGTAGAGAATTTGTGGTGGAAAGCTCAGACGATAGCTTTAGTCTTCCCTAAACATTCATTGCCCCTATATTTAAAAGCTGACACGAGCTGTTGTTTCTAATGAGTTATAGACTTGATTAAAATACCCGAGATAAATGTCATCCATATCCTTTCAAGTCATAGAATCTCTACAGTTTAGAAAGAGGCCATTTGGCCCATGAAGTCTACACTAACTCTCCAAAGAACATCCAACTTTATTCCCTAATCTGCGCATTCCTCAACTTTATGAGCAATTTAGCCTGGCCATCCACCTAGCCTGCATATCTTTGAACTGTGGGAGGAAACCAAAGCAGCCAAAGGAAACCCATGCAGACATGGGGAGATATATAAACTCCACACAGACAGTGACCCGAGGCTGGAATCAAACCCAGGTCCCTGGTGCCATGAGGCAGCAGTGCTAACCACTGAGCCACGGTGCCAAGTGAGAATTAATAATTACAAAAAGGGGAAAACGAAACAAAAAATTCTGTTCTCAGATCATCTCTGACAATTAATATATTACTTGAAAATACATGTATGTGTTCAGCTATCTCTTTTTCCAATGTTCTCCCAATAATAGGGTCATTGAAATCACCATTCATGATCCAGATGTGCTGTGATTTTTATCCATGGTTTTCACAAATGGTAGTGATTTAAGGTGAGCATTGAGGTCTCTATTTCTCTCCTCCTGCCTTTATGTCTTGGGTTGGCTTGACCTTCCTGTAGACGGGATGGGTTTACTTACATCCTGATGACACCATGCTGACAATGATGGATGTTGATGTACTTGAGCTTTGCACCAAGACAGTGACCAAGATCCCCACCACAAGCCCAGCCACAGGATTAGACAGGATTGCGTTGTCTTTAAAAATGTCACCAGCCACCTTGCCTGAAAGACAGAAACCTCATGAGCATAAACCCAACAAGATATTCAGACACACATCAGTCATGTTAATGCCGCTTAATAAGAAGTAGGAAAATGGACATGTCAGTTTTGGCTCCTTAGATCCTGCTATACAAATTCAAATTATCTCTGAATGCTTTGCTTATGAAAAAGAGAAAACTCCAAGGTTATCTAAAGCAGTGATGTTGGTGTAAAAAAAAGGTACATGTTCTGGCATTTTCCAGATGCAAATTGTGCCCAGTGCTGTCTATGCTTTTGGGCTGCTGTAAATTATTTAGGCTCACTGTTACAGGCAGCATGGGCAGCTGGATAAAATGGTAAGATATTTTAATATCCCAAATGAGAGTTTATTTTTGGTAGGGTAAAGACATTATTAGTAAACATCTTCATTCCTAGTCCATGAATAATCCTTTGGCTTTTCTAAGATTGACATGGATTCATTCCGATTCCCCATTATCACTTTGGGAGGAGGGATCTGTGGCCTTTTCATATGGATGGGTCTTGCCCACTTTGAGATTTGGGGTGAGGACCATGCCCTCTAATGGAGACAACCAGGAATTCTATTTGATCAGAGATAGTAGGAACTGCCGATGCTGGAGAATCTGAGATAATAAGGTGTAGAGCTGGATGAACACAGCAGGCCAAGCAGCATCAGAGGAGCAGGAA